TGGGCTGAGAACTCGAGCCGCAGGCCTGGTAGGGACTAGGCCTGGAAGCCTGGCCTCGCCTCTGGGCTCAGGACTTCAAAGGAGCTTGAGGAGACACCAAATTGCAAACGTGCTGTCCCCTGTCGCACCAGAAGTGCCTCACTCACAGAAGCCCAGATTAATTGCTGACTCAGCCAAAGTGGCTGGAGATGAGGGACAGATGGATAACGACCATCACAGTCTTTTTTTTTTTCTTTGAGACAGGCTCTCGCTTGGTCACCTAGGCTAGCTCAGTGGTGAGATCCTAGCTCACTGCAGCCTCCAACTCCTGGCCTCCAGCGATCCTCCTGCCTCAGCCTCCTGAGAAGCTGGACTACAGGCATGCGTCACCATGCTCAGCTAATCTTTTATTTTTTACTTTTTTTTTTTGTAGAGACGAGGTCTCAATATGTTGTTCAGGCTGGTCTTGAACTCCTGGGCTCAAGCGATTCTTCCTTTTCTGCTCTTTCCCAAATGCTGAGATTACAGGCATTAACACCACGCCCAGCCGACAATAATCTTAATTAGTAACCCTGCCTTAGCACTTCCTATGTGCCAGGTGCCGTTTGAAGCATGTTTACACACACATATCCCCTGAAAACTCTATGAGATAGTTCTATTTTTATTTCTTATTATTTTTTTTTGAGACAGAGTCTTCTTCTGTTGTCGGCTAGAGTGAGTGCCATGATCAGCCTAGCTCACAGCAACCTCAAACTCCTGGGCTCAAGTGATCCTCTACCTCAGCCTCCAAGTAGCTGGACTACAGGCATGGGCCACCATGCCCGGCTAATTTTTCATATATATATTAGTGGCCAATTAATTTCTATTTATAGAGAGACGGGGTCTCGCTCTTGCTCAGGCTGGTTTCGAACTCCTGACCTTGAGCAATCGGTCCGCCTTGGCCTCCCAGAGTGCTAGGATTATAGGTGTGAGCCACCACGCCCAACTGGCCTATTTCTCTTTTAAAGATGAGGAAACAGACTCGAAGAAGTTAAGTAAGTCAAACAGCTAATAAGTGACAGAACCTGGGTTTCACTCCAAGCTGTCTGGCTTCAAAGCCCGCACTTCTAACCGGCCTGCTCCGCGGTCTCTGGGAATACATTTCATCCTGTGAACACCATTCCCGCTCCCAGCAGGATGTGAAAAGGCCATTATGTGAATTTAATAGGGGCCAGGACGCCGAAGCTGGGCCTGGGCGGTGAGTCTGGGCACTGCTCATTATGCAAATCGCCCACCGGGTCTTGGAGCAGTGTGGGGACCAAGAGGAGACCGTGTGGGGCTGGGGTGCAAACCAAGGCAGGGCGCCTTCCTGGACAGGCAGTGCGGCAGGCACTGCGCATCCAGGGGCCAGGACCGAGATGAACGACAAGAGGTCTAGGAGTCAGGAACTGGAGGTGGTTACCAAGGAAACACACAATGTGGTAAAGCTTCAAGCTGAGCCTGTCTGGCTCAAACAAAAACAAACAAAGAAAGCAATGATATTTTTTCTCCTTTTCTTCTTTTCTTTCCTCCTTTTTTTTTTTTTTCCTGCAGTCCAATTCACAAGAGCAAGTGATATTTTTAAAAGTTGGGACAAACCTTGCATGGAACTCGGATGAATTTTAGCATACTTGCCAGTGAATAGCCGTCTTCCACATGAGTCGCTGGGGTGTTTCTGCATCGCCGCAGCTCAGAATCCAGCTAGAGAGGAGCCGGCTGGTGAGGGCGCGGCGCGTGGGTAGCGTGGTTGGGAGGATGGCGGTGGCGGGTAGGGAAAGCGAGCCTGGAAAAGGGGACATGGCTTGGGGGCAGGTAGGTGCCAGGAGACCAGTTAGAGGGTGGGAGGGTGTTAGCTGAAGCAGGGGGAGCAGGCAGGGGAAAAGGAAGTGATTTAGAGCGAACCCACAGGATCGATTGGCCACCCCAGCCTCGTCTGCCTCTAGCAGGCCTCCAGCCCTTCGCCATGAAGATGGCACCCAGTGTGCCATCGGCTTGCCCAGCCCTCACGCCAAGTCTGGGAACCCTGCATAAAAGAAATCTGTTTAGCCTCTTTTTTTTTGTTTGTTTTTTTTTTTTTTTTGAGACAGAATCTCACTTTGTTGTCCAGGCTAGAGTGAGTGCCGTGGCGTCAGCCTAGCTCACAGCAACCTCAAACTCCTGGGCTCGAGTGATCCTTCTGCCTCAGCCTCCCGAGTAGCTGGGACTACAGGCATGCGCCACCATGCCCGCTAATTTTTTTTTTATATATATATCAGTTGGCCAATTAATTTCTTTCTATTTATAGTAGAGACGGGTCTCGCTCTTGCTCAGGCTGGTTTTGAACTCCTGACCTTGAGCAATCCGCCCGCCTCGGCCTCCCAAGAGCTAGGATTACAGGCGTGAGCCACAGCGCCCGGCCTAGCCTCTTTTTTTTTTTTTTTTTTTTTTGAGACAGAGTCTCACTCTGTTGCCCGGGCTAGAGTGAGTGCTGTGGCGTCAGCCTAGCTCACAGCAACCTCAAACTCCTGGGCTCAAGCAATCCTCCTGCCTCAGCTCCCGAGTAGCTGGGACTACAGGCATGGCGCCACCATGCCCAGCTAATTTTTCTATATATATTAGTTGGCCAATTAATTTCTTTCTATTTTTAGTAGAGACGGGTCTCGCTCTTGCTCAGGCTGGTTTCGAACTCCTGACCTCGAGCAATCCATCCGCCTCGGCCTCCCAGAGTGCTAGGATTACAGGCGTGAGCCACCGCGGCTGGCCATGTCTTTCTCTTATAAAGGACACTTGTGAAGGCATTTAAAGCCCACCCAGATAATTCAGGATCATCTGCTCATCTCAAACTCGTTAACTTCATTACATCTGTAAAGCCTTTTTTTTCAAATAAAAGTAACATTCACCGATTCGGGGAGTTAGGATTGAACTTTAGGAGCCGTTATCAGCCAACCACAGTGACCAACTCCTCTATTTATCACGACTCCCCTGCTCTCGCGACACAATATATTTGGAGAAATGGTGACTTGAGGAAAACGGGCGTTTAGAAAGAATGGGGTGGAGACGGGAGTCGCGCGCTGGAAGAAACAACTTGGAAATGTACGAGAATAGGCTTGCCGCCTGCCTCGGGCTGGGAGGGCCGGCGCTGGTGATGACCAAGCTCTCCTGCTCCTGCTGATTCTTTCTGCGTGTCAAGGACCGGGACAGCACACAAAGACATGGAGAGGTAATTACGCCTAATGGAGAGTAATGACTACGCTGCGCTTCTCGTGTAATTAGGCCGGGATGGTGTCTGGGTACGGGTGGTTTTCAAGAGCTCTCCAGGTAATTGTAATGCACATCAAGAGTGGGAAGCCACTAGACAATAGTGTTGAGGCAATGAGAATTTCAAAACAGCTGTTAATGGATATTATCTTTAAGAGTAGTGACATGGTTCATAACATTGACATCAATAATTAACCCTCTTGACCTCAGCGAGAGGATGTGAAGCATGTGAGAGAGCCAGGAGCACTGGCTGCTGTCGGGGAGAAGGGTGCTCAGCAAGTGTGAGGTGCAGTGAAAGGCACAGGGGAAAAGTGTCACTAGAGCCACCGGGGTTCCACAGCCTCAGCCCCTGGATGGAGACTACAGGGCGGGGGAGGTGGGGACACAGGGAACCAGCAGAAAGCTGCCAGGAGTGGCCTGGAAGAAGAAAGAGATTTTTTTTTTTTTTTTAAATGAAAGCCCTTGGCCTGGGCCAAGTGGTTAATGGCCTCTAGTCCCTGTTCTCCCAGAGGGTCGGGACAACCCTGCCAGGACTGCTGAGACTGGGGCTGGCTCTCTGCAAGAGAAGTTGACCTTTAGGATGGGCCAAATGCTTTCAGTGCCAAAGTAGTAAACACACATGTGACATTCAGGCTAACTGACATGAGGTCTCACAAATGATTGGCTTACACCTTTTTGAGGTTGGCACTTCCAAAAAGGAGTACTTCTTTCTGTACTGAGTCTTACCCAGGGCTTTCCTACCCACGATCTCCCTAAGCCTCCCAGCTCCCTGGGGAGGTTAGCTTCTTTATCGTGGTAAAATATACATGACATAAAACTGACCATTTTAAGCATTTTTTTTTTTGGACAGGAAATCACAGATACATTTTAGTGATAGGCAATGTATTCTCACATACAGAATATCACATTTAATCTCAAAAGTCCCGACTTAAACCATTTCAATATAGTGAAAGGATAAAATAGGATGATAGCTTTGAAGCTGTTTTTATAAACTTAAAATTGTTGATTATTTTTCAGATTATTTTGAATAATTATAAATATCAGGAAGAATACTTTGTCCATTTATGTTACTATAAAGGAATACCTGAGGCTGGGGAATTTATAAAGAAAAGAGGCTTTTTTGGCTCACTGTTCTGCTGGCTGTGCAAGAAGTCTAGTGCCAGCATCTGTTTTTTTTGTTTTTGTTTTTGTTTTTTTGAGACAGAGTCTCGCTTTGTTGCCCAGGCTAGAGTGAGTGCCATGGCGTCAGCCTAGCTCACAGCAACCTCACTCCTGGGCTTGAGTGATCCTTCTGCCTCAGCCTCCCGGGTAGCTGGGACTACAGGCATGCGCCACTATGCCCGGCTAATTTTTTATATATATATATCAGTTGGCCAATTAATTTCTTTCTATTTATAGTAGAGACGGGGTCTCGCTCTTGCTCAGGCTGGTTTTGAACTCCTGACCTTGAGCAATCCGCCCGCCTCGGCCTCCCAAGAGCTAGGATTACAGGCGTGAGCCATAGCGCCCGGCCAATTTTTAGGGATTTTAATGTATGGTCTTTATTTCCAACTTTATTGGCAAAAAAGAGGAGGGAAAACTTTTAAACAGTTGAACACAGGGCATTACAGCTGATTCTGTCGGATAAAAACAGTTGGAGACGGGCGGGGTCTGGGCTTTGCGGGGTTAGCCCCACCTACTCCGGCCCCACGCCAATGGGGAGCCGCAGCAGCCAGCTGGCAGCCAATGGGGAGCCGGGCCGCGCGCGCGGGGCGGTGTGTACGTCGGTTGCCATAACAACGGCCAGCGGAGTCGGTCAGTTATGGCCTCCAACTTTAAGAAGGGTAACTTGGCTTCAACTGCTCAGCGAAAAAGGATGAATCCTAAGCCTGAGCTTACTGAAGAGCAGAAACAGGAGATCCGGGAGGCTTTCGATCTCTTCGATGCTGATGGCACTGGGACTATAGATGTTAAGGAACTTAAGGTGGCAATGAGAGCCCTGGGCTTTGAACCCAAGAAAGAAGAAATCAAGAGAATGATAAATGAAATTGATAAGGAAGGGACAGGGAAAATGAATTTTAGTGACTTTTTGACTGTGATGACTCAGAAAATGTCTGAGAAAGATACCAAAGAAGAAATCCTGAAAGCTTTCAAGCTCTTCGATGACGATAAAACTGGGAAGATATCATTCAAAAACCTGAAACGCGTGGCCAAGGAGTTGGGTGAGAACCTGACCGATGAAGAGCTGCAGGAAATGATTGACGAAGCTGATCAAGACGGAGATGGAGAGGTCAGTGAGCAAGAGTTCCTGCGCATCATGAAGACCAGCCTGTTTTAAGATCGGCATCTTGTCTACGCAAGCACGCGTGATGAGATGTAGTGCCTGCCGCTGTGAGAAATCTGACTTTTGAGAACACAAACTTTTTCCCTCACTGACCTCCCTGTATAACTTTAATAGTGACCTTGAATCTATTTTAGACTTTTGGAAGTGTTCTTTGATATTAAAGTTCCTTGTAAAGTGACCTGCTGATTACTTTAATTCTCAAAAACAAAACAAGAGCACATTAGAGTGGAGAAAAGGGTCTTAAAGCTTTGATCACCTGCCATTTTGCCTTGCATTGCTTCATTCTTGTCACATATTCCCATGTGTATGGAAACATAGAACAACTTCTTAGATAATAAGCACATGTTGTACTCATGTCACCATAAGCAGTGGTCATTCTTCAGTAGTTCCAGTTTTTAGTTGATGTCTGACTCTTATTAAATTCAGTGAACTCTTGCACTGGCATTTGGATGTGTGTTAATGCTATTTGTTTTGTCTTAAAAATAAAACCTTTCTTAGTATGAAAAAAAAAAGTAATTTGATTTTAAAGGCCCATCTAATTGCCCAAAGGTACACAATACTGGATCTGCATATGCTGTTTCTTTTTATGAAGTACAGTGCTCTCGTTTTAGGCAGTCTTTTAAACATATAAATGCAAAAGAAATTAAATCACTCATGAAAAACTGTGTGAAATGAAGGGTATTTTAAATGTAAATTTATGTTGTTCTTGGTAATAACACATGCCCAATGAAACCCTAAAGCTGAGAAAGCACTTTCTCTGCCTACTTGAGTGGACAGTTACAATAATCAATCATTTTCTGCAATAACCATTATATTTTCAATTTATCATGAGCTACTCTGAACTTACTACAAGGTGTAGCTGAAGTCAGAAGAGAAGACGTAGGGAGAGGATTCCTTTTTTTTTTTTTTTTTTTGGAGGAGGCCAAGCCCTCCAGAATCAGCATGGGAAATAAACACACTGTTCATTCTAGGCAGAAAAAAATTAATGTAGTCAATTCATGCTGAGCTCAACTCATGCTGAGCTGACTTAATTTTTTCATTGACTTGTTTGATGCCATTATTCTAAATCAAGTGTATTTAATTCTTCTTCTATTTCATCCAAATCTTCCCCAGTAAAAAGATTTTCATCAACAAGGAAAGCATCAATGGCTCCATTTTCCTGTCCCTCGTCTTTGTTGTCCTCCCACAAATCCTTTCACCATTTTCAACCCTACTTCCAGAGGCTTCACTTAATTTGTTTTTGCAAGGCTGGTGGCAGGCCCCCTCCCCTCCCCAGATCAAAAAGAAAAGGCTCACTGAGACCAGACCTGCCAAGGACAAACTGTCAGGCCCCGCTGAGAAAGACCACACCCAGGTGTCCACCCGGATAGGAAAGTTTTGGCTCCTGGATTCCGCAAATGCCGCCAGACCCTCCTATTTCTCAATGACCACCAAAGGTCACCCCAGCTCTTCCCGCCAAAAGTCCCTAGCCCACCCCAAACAGTATAAAGGCTTGCACCCCCTCCAAATGGACATGACTTCTCAGGCCCCCCTCTCTTGGGACCCCAGAACCTCATCCATGAGTGCATAATAAAGCCATGTTGTTTGGCCCCACTCTTTCTCTGTGTCTCTTTCTTTCACCACTGGAAAACTTTACAGTTTCCATCTTTATCTGAAATATATGTGCTGAACCTTTCAAGACTGGCTACAGTAATATCTATTTCATCTACGTCTCTTGGGACATACAGGCTTAAATTTATGTCAATTATGCTCACTGGATCATGATCCTCATCACCACCTGTTCCCTGGGTGTATCAGGTATCATCTGTTTCCTCCTCCTCCTCCTCATCGACCAGTTCAGGATGAAATGCAAACACCTCTCAGCCACTGATCACTACTGCTTTCCCTGCTTTGAAGTTGGCTTTCCTTCTATCCATATCTTGTTCAAGTTTATCAATCTTTTCTTGTGCTTTCCTTTTATTCTGTGAACTAAAGATCTTAAGGCTCACCCCCACCTACTGACTGAATGGACCCCCTCTTGGCCAAAGGGATACCCTAAAACTAAATTGCCTGCCAGGAGGCGGGAGGTCAGACATGCCTCATCATGCCCCTATTCCCTTCTTGGAGACATCCTTTGTAGCCCATTAACAGGCCTAAGGCTATGCAAGACACACCTGCAGGCCCTCAATTTACACAACAAATATGTCCGGTAGTTTGTCTCAGATTAACAGCTTCTTATCTTAAAACATTCAAACCTTTTGAGAAAGCTTCATGCCTTTAACCAATTACAAGTCAAGAATTTCTAACCCCAACCTGTAACCCTTCGAGATGGCCTCCCTTTTGGGGCCACACCAATGTAGGCCTCCCACGTATTGATTTATGACTTTTTCTGTAACCCCTGTCTCCCTGGAATGTATAAAACCAAACTGTAACCCAGCCACAGCCAGTCCACTTGCTCAAGGCTTCTTGGGTGTGGCTCCGGGTCATGGTCCTCAAATTTGGCCATTCAGAATTAATCTCTTTAAAATTATTATACAGGCCCGGCTCAGTGGCTCACGCCTATAATTCTAGCACTCTGGGAGGTTGAGGTGGGAGGATGGCTTGAGATCAGGAGTTGGAGACCAGCCTGAGCAAGAGCGAGACCCTGTCTCTACTAAAACTAGAAAGAAATTAGCCAGACAACTAAAAATATATAGAAAAAAAATTAGCCGGGCATGGTGGCACCTGCCTGTGTTACAGCAAGTGTTACAGCGGGTGGTCCCAAGGACAAAGCGAGCAGCACATGGAGAGTTGGAGAATCAAAGTTTATTCGCTGGCAGGCTCAAAGGGGCCTCGCCACCAAATTCTGAGCCCCGTTTACCCGATTTTTCCCACTTTTATTAAGTTGGGGTGATCCGAGAGGTGGGGTATCAGGTGTAGGTTAGCTGATGTGTCAGGCAAAAAGTTAATATTATGTTGATGCGACAGGCAACAGATTTAGTGTCACGCTGGTGCCAGGCAATGGAGTAGTTGATAGCCAGGTAACAGGTTAGCTTTATGCAGATGTGGGTCTTCTGTGAGTGGTGGGGTCTCCTGTGCCTGATGCCAAGTAGTAGATGGGGATTTCCCTCATCACCTGTAGTCCCAGCTACTCGGGAGGCTGGGGCAGGAGGATCGCTTGAGCCCAGGAGTTGGAGGTTCCTGTGAGCTAGGCTGACGCCACGGCACTCTAGCCTGGGCAACAGAGCGAGACTCTGTCTCAAAATATATATATATATTTTACAGAGTTTGGCTTTTTTTCCCTTGACACTTCCATGCAAGAAAAGAGTCTACAGGGATTTGGGTAACATTTGGACCTAGGGCAGAATGCTATCTTTCAATTAGATCTTACAGTGAAATGTTACCTTCTTTCTCCTCTTTCTTTTTATCTTTCTTTTTTTTTTTATTTTTATTTTTTTAAAGACCAGCTATGTTCTCATTTTTATCTTTCTTTTCAACACAAATCCAAGAAGTGCATGATAATACATGCAAATATCACCCCCTCCAGGGCATACCCCACACCAGCCATCTTGTTGTTTTCAATAGCTTCAAGGAAATGCTTGTGTAGTATTTGTGTTTTTGTTTTTTTCTTTTCCAGCCTCATCATGCTTCTTCTTCTTCTTTTTTTTTTTTTTTTTTTGAGACAGAGTCTCACTCTGTTGCCAGGCTAGAGTGAGTGCCATGGCATCAGCCTACGCTCACAGAACCTCAAACTCCTGGGCTCAAGCGATCCTCCTGCCTCAGCCTCCCGAGTAGCCGGGACTACAGGCATGTGCCACTGTTAGGGACCGGCTTCCTGCACCCCGCCAGGCAGACGAACAAAGACACCAAGGATGCAATCACTCAAGAGGAGTTTTATTTTCTGGCTAGCCAGGGTCCAGGCCCTAGAGTGCCAGCGCAGTGGCCGCTCTTACAGGCAGGACCCTGACCAAAGCTGGGGCTCCCTTTTATCCCCCTCCCTCTTGAACACCCGCGCTGTACAAGCTGATTGTGCGTGTTAGTCTTTAAAATGATTGGTGACTGGTAGCCGCCGGCGGCCAAAGGGCTTTCTCCCTTATCTGGCCCATACCTATGCGTCCAGCTGCAAGCAAGCGATTCTCAGAAGCAGAAATATGCGTTTAGCCGATAGCTCTACCTTTGGGCCCCAAGCTAGCAGTTTCCAGGAGCCGATTACTCCTCCCCTGGGCCCATTTTCTGTTATCCGGGCTCGCACAAGTGAGCCAGCAGCTTTGGGGTGCAATCAGGCCCTTACACCACCATGCTCAGCTAATTTTTTCTATATATATTAGTTGGCCAATTAATTTCTTTCTATTTTTAGTAGAGACGGAGTCCTGCTCTTGCTCAAGGCTGGTTTAGAACTCCTGACCTTGAGCAATCCTCCCACCGCGGCCTCCCAGAGTGCTAGGATTACAGGCGTGAGCCACCGCACAGGGCCCTCACCATGGTTCTTGTTTACTACTTCTCCCAGCTTTTTCTCACCCCAATTATCCATAGTATTTTTTTCAAGTTCTTCATCTCTTGCATCAGTGTAAAGACTTATCTTTTCACATTTCCTCTCCAGAGTCAGGTCATCAGCAAGCTGACGCTCATCTCCTTCAGTACACTGCCCTTGCTTGAAGAAAGCACATACTGCAGATTTGGGAGCTGCACCTTTCTTTAATTTTTGAGCAACAACTACAGGTTTGAACAGCTCATTTAGTTCCTACAACTCTTTCTTCTTATCATCTTTCTTCAATTTCTTTTCAGCCTCACTCTGTGCTACCTGATGTGGATTTTGTTGATCAGATTTAACTTGATGTGTGTCAGCCTTGATAAACTTTTGTTGCTTCACTCCTTTCTTATTCTTTAAACCAAAAGTTTTGTCTTTGATAATATTCTCCTTCTTTTTCTGCTCAACCTTTTTGTTGCCCCAGGCCTGGGCCTGTTTCTTGGGGGCATTGTGGAGACTGATGACACTGGCCACAGTTAAGTGAGTCACTCATTCCACGTCATTAAATTTAGATAATTATTTTAATGTAAGCATTTTTACTTTGGTAGTCAGTATACAATTTTTAAGACTTTTGGTAAAATACACATAACTTGAAATTAACCATCTGTAAAGTTTTTCGGCAGTGAAAGAAACAGAAAGAGTGGGGCCAAACAATGTGGCTTTATTTAGTGTTCCCGGGTGAGGCTCTTGGG